TACTCAAGCTCTCTCTTCTTAATAACTCAAGTAGTCACAGAGATGTCTTCAAGAAGGTTGACAGTATATATTACTTATATCTTATAAGTATTATACTGACTCAGATTAAGATGAAATTTTCATTCAAGAGTACAGATAAAGCTGTGAAATTCAGATAATATATTTCTCTTATATCTCAGAGAATCTCTGATCTTAATCTCTCTATCTTTATAATAGATGTAGATGTGTAGAGGCTGCAGCAGTGATAAAGCAGTTGAAGAGCTTATACTAAAATATACAGCAGATTCAGAAATCTCAGATTTCTACTGAGATGAAGATGTACACACTTTAGAGAATAATATGAAGTTTTTCTCAGAGAATGAGATCAGATTAGTCTTAGCACAGATGTATAAGATTATATTAATCTATTAATAGAGCTTAACTGATTTAAACTTATAATCAGATCAAGTGATTCAAATTGTAATATAACAGAACTGAAGTGATAACTAGTTAACAGTATTATATAGAGATAGTTATTAAGAAGCTGTATAAGTGAGCTTGACTATCTTACTTAAATAGTGAGCTTATAGACTACAGAGTTATTATAAGAATATCACAGATATGATACTTAGTATACTAAGAAGATTGTATAAGAAACACAGTAACTCTTGTATATATTTCAGTAGAAGAAAAAACAAATCACTGACTTCTTTAATAAGAAGTCAGTATCTAGCTATTTTATATAGACAATGAGCAGATACTCTTCTCTCATTTCATGAGTGAGAATAGCTGAAGTGATATCTCAGTGATATCTCACTATTAAGAAAGAGTAATCTGCTAATCTTATATAGAAGCAGAGTTCTCATATTTATCAATCAAATCTTTATATGATATATCTGAATGATGTTATAGAGTGATTGAAAACCAGTTCAGATGAAATGAAATCATCCGCATGAAAGCAATGAGCTGTGTGAAACCGCAACAGGGCCTAGACACGGCCGGAAGCGTGACAAAGAATGAGACTCTAAACTCTACAGTGTCTTTAAATTTAAGATAGTTACAGATTATAAGAATTTTAAATATTTCATAATTATCTATAAGTTTACTGAATAACAGATATGATGATCTGAGCTATTAAGCTGTTTTCATTTCATAATACACTACTGTCTCAGCAGTTAGAAATTGATAATGAATGCTCTCTTATAATAGAAGTAAGATATATCTTTTAATATAATAAATATTCACTGAATAAACTGAGAGTACTGACTCTTGAATCTGAAAATACTAGTTAATTACAATAAAATAACTCATGATACTATATATACTTTCTCAATTAGAACACTCTCTCTCTAAACTGTTATTAATATTCTGACTTCTTTCAAATCTACACTAAATGAATTGTGATATATAATAGCTCAGAATAATAAACTTCTTCAAACACTTACTAAAATAATATGTTAAGAAGTATTTCAATTCTCTTCAGAACTATATATAAGAACTGACATCTCAGAATGCTTAATTAATGATAATAACACTTTGCAATTCTGTGAATAATGCTGAGTCTCTCAATCTGAACTCTTATACATCAGAATAATGTAAGAGATGTATAATTTATATATAATCAGTCATTCAGATTATAAGTAACTATATTAAATAATCTCTTAAGAGTTCTATTAATCTGAGATATTAAACAGTATCAGATTCTTTGTCTGAAACTACAACTATTATTTCTCTATCATCTTATAAAAAGATTGTAGAAAAGATCTACTAAAACTGCTTAATATTCTTAATAGAATCTGATAAAATGTACTAATTAACTTTACTATTAATCTTCTTAAGAGTAAGAGTTATAGAAATATTCTGATTATTATTGACTGATTAAGTAAAGATATAATATTGAAATCTTGTAATAAAATGAATACTGAACAGATCACTGAAGCTTTCTTACAAAGCTTATTCTATTAGATATATAACTTGATAAAATCTATAGTATCTGACTGAGATTATCAATTTATAAACACTTTCTGAATAAGAATCTGTCAAGTTCTCAAGATTATATACTGTTTATTAACTACTTATCACTCTGAGACTGATAATGCATCAGAATAAATAATTCAGACTATAAAAAACTATCTTTATAAGTTCTGTAATTATTTATAAGATGATTAATATAATCTTCTTCTATATATAGAGATTGCTATTAATGATTAAGATGCTGTTTCAACAGATATAAGCTCATTCTTTCTTATACATAGTTATTATATAAAGATATTGAATTTTCTAGTGATTATACAGTTTACACTGAATTTCTGTAGTCTAATTCAGATCACTGATAATATAGTAATAAAGCTTTAAAATGTCTGTGACTGAGCAGAGATCTTTATAGCAAGTGTTAAATAAGATTAAGAGAATTAAATTAATATTTATCAAGGTCTTTCTGAGTAATATAAGATAGAAGATCTAATGTAATTACATCTTAAAAATATACAGATTATACATTCATCTCATACACTGAACTATTATCATGTTAAATTCAAAGTGATAGAAGTTCTAAGCAGTTACAACTACTATCTTAACATCTCATCAGAGATTTATAATGTCTTTTATACAAGCTTACTTCACTATACTATTACTGACTTATTCTCTTCTCAACTGACTTTCAACTGACAGCTGTCAAAGATCATAGAAGAAGACAATGAACTTGAATAAAAGATTGAAGATATTCTCAATGAAAGGTCTCATAGCTGCAGCTGATAATATCTTATAAAATAAGTCAGTTACAATTATGTGATTTGAACTCTGAGCTCTATATTATCTGAAACAGCAGCTCTCAACTGATGAGAACTACACACTTACAACTCTATCTCACTTCTGAAAAGAGAGAACTAATATAGTAGACTACACTTAATTGATAGATTATTTCATTACACTTCATAGATTTTTACTGAAAGCTCTGATTCTTAGTCACTGATTTATTTCATTACATCTTATAGATTTCTGATGAAAGCTCTGATTCTCAGCTGCTAATTCTCAGTTGAGAAACTTATAGAGTTTCTATTCTTTCACTCTGAAGCTTTATCTTATATGCATATAAATATTCACTTCAATTATTAATTCTCATACTATCTCTTTTATTTTCCTTCTCTAATGTTTTTTACTTTTGTTATATAAGACCTATATCTTAATGCTGATCTATTCAGTGTAGATCTCTTACATGAATAAATAAATAAGAACTGAAATAGAGTTTATCTATACTATAAAGAGATTTTTTTAATAGCTATTTAATACTGTATAAAAGAAGATAGTTATATCTTTAAATATTATATTTATATTTACTACTACTAATTTATATTTATTCAATTTAGAATGAGTTCTTAAAAAGCTTATAATACAGTCTTACACTCTCTTAGATATATAATATCAATTAAGAATCTCTACTTCTATTATTAATATATAAAAATTAATAAAGTAAGTTAAATAATAGTAATATTAAATATCTAGTAGTCTTAACTAAGTAATTTATATAAGAAAAAATCTTACTTCTAATAAAGAGATTTCTCTAATAGAGAATAGACAGCTATAATAAGCTCTTCATTAAAAGAGAAGATATTATAAGTAAAATAGAGTAATAAAATTACTAGATTTTTCAAATTTATTATTAATATAGTTCTTTTCATCAGTAGAGATATAGATTATATATAAGAAAATAATAACTTTTAAAGCTGTTAAAAAGAATAAGTAAACTTGTAAGAAAAATACTAAGTTATAATATATTATTCTTAAGAAATAGAAGAAGATAAATATTATAAAGAAGAGAATGAAGTAAGAGATAGCTTATTAAATAATAAAGTAGTAAAAAGATATAAATAAGACTGTAAGAGCTGCTTAATAACAGATTAAAAAGAAGCTTAGAGATATAAAAAAGACTTAAGAGTAAAAAGAGAAGAAAGAATAAACTACTGTATAACAGTAATCACAGTTAAATAAGAAAAAGATTAAAGAATTTAAAAATTATCTTTCTAATCAGAAAAGTAGATTCTTGATTTTATAAAAAGTGACTAAATTGCATTTTCAGAGCTCTGTCAGAGTACTCATAGATTCACTATCAGAGAAATCTGATAATATTATAATCTCTACTAATTTAATAACTAGTTACTCACTAAATCTGTCTTCATTTAAAATTTCATATTCTAGATAAGTTATTAAGTCAAATAAATATTTACAGAATTAGCTGTATATTTTTATATGTAGTTCTCTCTATATATTTTCATCATATAATATATCACCTTAAAATCTAATTGCATTGTTGAGATATCATTGAAAATATTTCATCATAGTGATGATGAAATGACAGGCATTGAGTAAACAAGTTTTCTTTATTTTTGCCCTCCTTAGACACAAGCTTATTTATTATCTACCCAAGTGCTAAACCTGATATTACCAAAATCTCACGCCCTGAGAGAATAACAAGAGAATAACACAAAAGGAACAGGAGAAATACATGTTAGTTAATAAGCATAGGCTCTAGGTACCTCCTATATATATTAAAATATGACTAAGGTGGTGAACAGTGAAGACTACCAGAGTCAGATCCAGGTTGAGAATCGAAAATGCTCAATGAGGAAACAAAGTTATAAAACGTAAACAATAAACTCCTGCAAAGGCGGTCGGTGTATGTGTCGATCTCGATAGGTAGGGTGGGCGAAGAAAGGGAAGTCAGGACTCCTTTGCAGGAAGAGGGGAAATTAAAAGAAAAGGGCGCAAGGAAAGAAAAGGTCTGCTTTTCCCATCGCGTTATTTTCTGTCTTTTTATTTTTAGACTTCTCTTCCTTCGCCCGGGCCTATTTCGTCCTCCTTAACTCCATTGCTATCTACGTCGCCTGCTACAAGACAACGATCTGATGAGGGTATAAATATGATACGACGATTATATGCATGCATATGAATATACGTAGATGGCCCGGGTATGTATATACCCATTGCGTGCACCAGGGCAAAAGCATGAGTAAGCTAGACTATTTTTACTTCCTCACCTGCCTAGCATGTTTGACCAGGTTCTCAATAACACCCTCGAACGCCTCTTTCTCTCCAATCTGCGCATCGCGCCGCTTCAACCAGTACTCCAATACCTCGCTGGCACGTACGGTCATCTGCTCCAACCAGGAGATATGCTGCCGCAGCTCGTTGTCTGCAAAGTTATCCAGGGCAGCATCCGTGGTGGCGCATAGGCGACGGACGGCTGAAAGGTCCAGTTCAGGAGGAGGTTCGGGTCCACGACGTCGCGGTGGACGGCTACGTGATGTAGAGCGACCTGAGCCATGAGGCCCCGAGGACCGCCCCTGGCCATCCCTTTTCGCTTTGCTAGCGGAGGATGGAGCGCCGGTAGCTGAGTTGGAGGAGGATTGGGAATTGCCCTCTAAATTTATTGAGGGCAGCACTAGCTTTTTCTGCTTGGATGCGGGGAGGATTTCGTCTAGGTCGACAGGGACGCCAAGGGAGACGAGGAAAACACGGCGGATGTGAGACTTTGTCCAATTGGCAGGTTGGAGGGGAGGTGGTGAGACAAGCTGGGACCAGAGTGATCGAGAACGTTCAGTGATGAATATGTCGGAGTCTGGGATGGGAGAAAGGGGTGGGAGGGATGGGAGATTTGCGGAGCCGGGGAACAAAGAGTTGAGTTGGTCGCATGTTGCTGTGAGAAGGTCTTGGAGGTTTTTTATGGAGTTGAAGTCTAAAAGGGTCGGCTGTATTGAATATGATAGCCGATCAGTTTACAGTTCCTCTTTCTTTTGGAGGGCCAATCAACGGTAGGCTAGATTCCAGGAAATAAATGTCTCGGAATCGCCAGATAGGTTGTATCTGTGTCTGGGATTGTACTTTATGCTAAGGCTACTTACAAGGGAGGGTGAGGGAGGTTGTTGCACGGGGACACTGGTAATTTGACCCGTATCCTCATTGACAACCTCCGTTGGTTGTTGAAATGCAGCTTCTCCAAAATCACCGAAATCATCCTCTTCAGCATTTTCCTCTCCATCGAAGTCATAAAAATCGTCACCAAGGGCTTGATCATCAGGTTCATTTTCAGAGGGATCATGTGCAGCACGATCGTCAGATGTCTGTTTTTCTGTTAAGGAGCTTTTCCGTCGGACATGGCTTCGATGCTCGGATCTACTCGTCGAAGAGTTTGGAGACCCTGGTTTGGTCAATCGTCCCTCTGAAATCCGAGAAGGGAGTGGCCAAGGAGCAGGGAGAAAGCTTACCTGGCACGTCTGGAACTGTCTGGATAACATCTGGAAGTGAATCACTAGGGCCTCGTCGGTGCGCAGTAAATGAGCGTCGTAAATCGTGTTCACCTGGAGATTCAACCCGGCAAAGCATGGTTTCCGGAACCGGGCTTCCCTCAGTGCTGCTATTTTGCGGTTGATCAGGTGATGTAATGCAGGGTTGAGACGAGTGTTCTTGTATTTTAAATATCATATCCGGCGCAGAATCTGCTTTATGAGATTCGTAGGCGCGTGTTCCTGGCTCTTCTCCGTAGCTCGGTGAACTGGGATCGATTTTCTCGACAATAGTTCGCGGTACCATCTTTGGGTCTAAGGTTGCTCTTGTGCTTGCCCTTGACCCTGGTCTGCTGGGTGGTCCGTTGCCGAGAATCTCGATTTCATCTGGAACAGCGTCCAATCCCCTTGTTTCGTACGCAGGGGAGCCAGGAACCTCGCCGTAGCTTGGAGAATTGTCAATTTTCTCTACGCGTGTCCGGGGTATTGGCGAGGGTGTTCGAGACCGTAGGCTGGGTCGATGCCTTCAGAAGCATCGGAAAAGTGCTCCTCTTCACTTTCACACGCCGTAGATAACGCGAAAGTTAGCTGCCATCCACTTCTACTAAATTTTAGACCATTAGGAAGGAATAAAGCATACGGGATGGTTGAGCCCCAGGGGCGTCCAGCTCACCCCTTTTAGGGGTGGCTCCAGCAAGATGCTAGGAGGGCGGGAACGCCGCTCTGTCATTGGAAAGGTCCCAAGTCCTCCAGATCAACGCCCATAGATCAACACAAATAGCGTAGTTACTTGTGAAGTTATTACCTGCTTCAAATCCCTAATAGTAGCCAGGTTGTGTGTGAGATGAACAGGCAAACGAACAAGAAACAGCGAAGGCCTCATCTGACGATTTAAGCCCGCTCGGATTCTGCCAAGGCGGTCTGGAGCCCCAAAAAACACTCAGCCTGTATTGTTACCGTTTCCGGAAGTAATTTGGGCGAGTCCTCTCGAATGGTTGTATGGTACGATAAATATACACAGACCTGGCCGCAACTGCTAAAAGAGCTCTGCAAAAACCATCACCACGACGGGCGATTCTCAGCAAAAGGAGAACGCTGCCTGCTGCTTCCACCGTTAAGGGCATAGAACTGAGAACTGCCACCCCTTGGACACCCGTATAGTAACCTTCTAACTGTTACACAAGCTAACTCTGCTATACTTATACCGGGTTTCACCATTTGTAAGTTTGTCAGTTTAGATCCTATGCCAACCAGATTTTTGACAGATTATTGATTATTGCCAACTCTTAGGAAACACCGGTTCTGAAACCCAGGGAAACAAACCGCAAGTATCTGCCACGATGTCTAACCCATTTCAGTTCGGGACCCCGTCAACATCGGCAGGTTCCAATACTCCTCCTGTATTTGGTACGGCTGGCGCATCACCATTTTCCCAACCCGCGTCCGGAAAGCCTTCTGGTGGTCTCTTCGGAAATATCGGCGCGACACCGACAACAACGACAGGTTCCTCCTCTTCATCTTTGTTTACGACAACCCCAGCAACAGGGCAGACGGCTTCTTTGTTTGGTGGTCAAGGCTCAAAACCTACGTTTGGCGGCACCCCTTCCAGCAACCCGTTTGGGAATCCTTCAAACCCAGGACAAGCCTCGGCGACGAACCTATTTGGAAGTGCAAGCCAGACTCCTAAATCAACAGAACCTGCATCATCCGGCCAAACTCAGACTGTGTTATTTGGAGAAGCAGGCAAAACGGCTCCAGGAACGGGTGGTTTGTTTGGGAATGCTACTCCAGCACCGTCGAACGGAGCATCATTATTTGGCAACATGTCAACTACACCTGCCGGACCCCCTCCTCAGACCTCAGCTGGGCAGGGCCTTTTCACAAGCCAAGCATCGACAAAACCTGGGGAGTCAGCATCTCTTTTCGGACAAAAGCCAGCTTCCTCTACTTCTTTCGGGAGTCTAGGCGTAACCACAAACGCCCTATCGTCAGCAGCCGCGCCTACAACAACCGCAGCAGCGCCAAGTTTATTCAAAGGCGCTTCCCAATCGCAAACGCCAAGTACGGGTAACTTATTCGCTTCTCCGGCCGCTAAAGGTCAGGCCGTGGAGACAGGGAAACCACAGGCAAAACCGACCCCGCCCCTATTCGGTGCACCCGCGATATCAACCACTCCCCAGGCATCTGGTTCGCTATTCAATACTCCTGGGACTTCGGGAGCTCAATCACAACAAAAGCCATTTAGCTTTCCTTCCTCCAAACCCACTTCGGGTGCTTTTACACCAGCCACAATGTCAGAAACTGCCCAGAAGCCTCTTTTTGGAGCAACGGCGGTTACTACTACTCCATCGACTACAAGCACAACGACAGCAGCACCTGCTGCTGGGCTATTTGCTGGCCTAATTACCCCGAAAACCAATACTCCCAAAGATTCAACTACCCCGGCTACTACTTCAAGCCAGCCAGCAGGTGGAATGTTCAGCCTTGGTAAGCCGACGACCACGACAGCTCCAGTGAGATCTCAAGCAACGACCTCTGCTGCTGGAGCAACAACTACTGCTGCACCTACAACAGGCGCCACCACTGCCACTACTAGTGCTGGTGGAACAACATCAACTCCAGCCACCGCTAGTGGCCTTGGGGCGTCGACCGTAGGCCCAGCTCCTCCAGCACAATCGCGGCTCAAAAATAAAACCATGGATGAGATCATCACCCGCTGGGCGACTGATTTAACAAAATATCAAAAGGAATTCCAAGAACAAGCTGAGCAGGTTGCCGATTGGGATCGGATGCTTGTGGAAAATGGAACAAAGGTGCAGAAACTGTACGGTAATACAGTCGATGCGGAAAGAGCTACACAGGAAGTTGAACGCCAATTAGCATCTGTAGAGGGACAACAAGATGAATTGAGCTCGTGGCTCGATAGATATGAACAAGAGGTTGAGGCTTTGTTGTCGAAGCAGGTTGGGATCACGGATTCATTGCAAGGACCTGACCAAGAGCGTGAACGAACGTAAGTCCAACTTGCTCCATTACCAAGCCACCATATTATTTCCTGGTCCCCCCACTCTAGCAAAACCATCATGCTAAACTAATCTTGCCCAGATACAAACTCGCGGAACGTCTCTCCGAACGACTCAATGAAATGGGCCAGGACTTGACAAGCATGATCGAGGAGGTCAATTCCGCCTCCTCCACTTTGAGCAAGACCTCCAAATCCGATGAACCTGTATGTCCCACTGAGCAATTACTATTTTTCTATGTTATATATAAATAACATATGAGTTTTGCTAACCCTAACGCTTTACACCCTTCCAGATCTCTCAAATCGTCCGTATCCTCAATTCGCACCTTTCCCAACTTCAACTCATCGATCAAGGCACGGCCAATTTACATGCAAAGATCGCTGCTGCGCAAAAGCTAGGTGGCTCTCTTAGTGCCCATCAACATCAAGGCACATATAGCCAGCTTCGGAATGGAATTGGAAATGGGATGGGTGGCGGAGGTGCCGCAGATGACTTTTACAGAGCTTACATGGGCCGTCGGTAAAGGAAGAACTGATGTAAGAGTTGAAAGGGGAGGCTTAGTCAACAAAAAATTTCCCTCTGGATATCAACTTGTGGTAGGAAACTTTTCGGTATACCCGACGCCTTGGGATCTTTTTTCCTCTTGTGTTATTTTTACTATTCTATCATCCATCACCCATGTTTCTTTAGGCAATCAAATTTTGTACACTGTCGTATCCCATACTACCCGTTATTTTAAATACCTTTTCCACTGCTCATTGTGAGCAAAAGTTTTTGTAATACATTAGGACCGCTTGTCGCTAGTTTTACTTTAATCCTGCCGATAAAAAATAAGGTCAGACCGAGTGACCGACTATATTTTCATCTTAAAACTTGACAATCAAATCAAGCTTCCAGAACAGCTCTATCTGGGCCTGGATTTCACCCTTCTCACCGAAGTTTCATGACAACGAAGTAATAATGAGTATATGTACTGTTTACTGTACTACCCCGGCCCCTCTCCGTCTTCGTCACTTCCTCCCCCTCTGGCAATGGCCATTTCTATGGATGAATCCGCTTACTTGTCTGGGACGGAAACCTACAGCAAGAAAACCATAGCCCAGGCCTCCAAGTTTGCGATCCGGCATATGGACATATCCCGAGGCCAGTGGGTACTGTACCTACCTACACTATACACTCCAACGTTCCAATTTGAAACTGAGCGCAAATCACCCATTTCAAAAGAAAAACATGTGTTTTGCTTGAATTGATTTCGACGACCCTACAAGGAGGAACAGGGGAAGAAATGGAAAGGAAAAAGAATCCAAGGAAATACCAAGAAATCCAACAGGGACAAGAGGAAATGGAGAAAACGAATGAACCGCACACAGGAGAAAAACGATTTATATATGTATATATACAAAGATATATTCCAAACTATCTTCTTCACCAGTTGACTGTTTGACGGGTCAAGCAAGTATGTATGTATGTAAGAGTGTTAAGGAGAGGGGAGATGATGCTTAGAATGGGAGCAAAACGAAAAATCCCATCAGAGAATTAAAAGAAAAGCAACACAAAAAAGACAACCTAGTGTTTCAGTGTCAATTTCTTTCTGTTGTTTGAGCTTCTCTTTTTTCCCCCCATACTTTCATAGTTCATATTCTGCCCCTAAATTCCCTTTGATCCTTTATACAAATGTTGCCTTGCACAGATACGGTGCACTGGGGAGAAAAGGAAGGGGAAGGAGAATCAAAAAGCTATCCGGAAGCGGTTTTTATTTTTAGTTTCCTGTTTAGTTCTGCTCACCACCGTGTTCCTTGGTGAGTTGCTCGCTGTAATGGAATTTCACACTCGTCAGAGAGATACATATAAAATAGCTTGTTATAGTTCTTTGCAAATGCAAAAAGAGCAGTGACTTGAGGGGAAAGAAGTATATGAACACGTACATATGAGCATCAAGTTCATCGAGATGCTGGCGCTGCTGCTTCAGCTTTTCTCTTAAGCTTCGTAGCCTGTTCGATACAGTTTCAAATGTTTAGTAAATTAGATTTCCCAAGTTGTAGGCTCCTGCCCTCCCGACCTTCCAATTTTTCAATTCTTTAAGACATTTTCAATGTAAGAAAGGAACGGGAATCGGGGGAATCGGGGGAGGCGGAAGTAAGAATGACAAAGGAACGAAGACGTACTTTTCCATCTCCCGTTGCTTGATAAACATGGCTTCATCGGCAGCTTCCTTCTTGCTCCATGAATTGCTATTGTTCAACACCAGAGTATCCATTAGTTTTCCTGTTTTTCAGATAACCAAGTTTCTTTGCCTTCTTCTTTTATATAGACCCATCTGAAAAGCGGTCTCGTTTGTGATGGTGGGTAGTCTTGCAGGTGTGCAGGGGAACGGACTGATAAAAAACCAAAGCAACGACGTTACCTACCTAGTGGACAGTTTCCCAGTTGCCCGGGGAGAACCAACGTCACCTTCAGCCATTCCTACGGCAGCAACGGAGAATAAGCGCTTGAGGGGCAGCTGGCTAGCGCGGAGAAGAGGTCTGGCAGTTTGACGGAGCATGTTTGATCGTGGTATGAAGTAGTTCTTTGTGAGGAGGGGATGTATGTGAAGGCTGAGCTGCGTTGGAAGGTAGGTAAGAGAGAAGGGAGAACTGGAAGCTTATTCGTTAGCGACCTGCCTTCAATAATGGCTAGTGCATATGTTTTTATTACAAGGGAGGGCTTCGTACATTTGCTTGAGCGTGGGAGAGCGATGTTTGATTTGGGAGGCAAGGAATGTCGTTAGGTTGCTTCATTATTGTACTCCGTCAATACGCTAGCTTTCTTCGGCAACCCTGGAACCTTGGAAGCGTGCGTCATTGCTGACTCAGTCACCCCCCAACGCACATCACATGACATCTCTCCTCGCCACACATAATTCGCTGCGAAGAATTGGGGAAATTGTGAAACCGGCCAGCATATATGGAATATGGTTCCAAATGTGGTGATGAAATATTTTACCCAACTTATTTTATCATTTTAATCCATGAAGAGTTGGAGTAGATAATTTTGCTTTTACAAAGTCCCGTCTTGGCTGATTCAGACGTCTCCTCTTAAACTGGTAACTGAGACGTGGAATAAGCAATAAGAGTGACGCCCTGATTCTCTCTTGGTGTCCCTATTGGCCCCTCTTCCTATCTATTATCAAGAAGAACCATTTTAGCGTCCACCAGGACAGCGTAATCCTGGTAGATTTGTTGTATGATACTTTCTGGGTTGAAAAGTGTGTTTAACGGACGAACCGGGGTAAGGTGGGGAGAACACTGGCGCCGAATTATGATGATATTTTATTGTACTGTACTGATTTCTATCTCAATTGCAGCCTTGCCAGCCTGCCCACCTACCGCCACTTGCGAAGAGTCGTAGTGAGCAAAATAATGGTAGTGCCCACGAAACTGCAAGAAATACGCCTTGCATGCACAGCGCTTCTTAGCGTTGAAATTTAAACTAGAGCCGTCAAAATTCTGGTGGCTCAACGGCTGTGGCATTAATTATTGAGGAATCGAGAACATTAACGCACAGTTCATAGATCCGCCCTGGGTGTAAAATACCGCGTAGGAATATAAGTCTTCTCTACTAAATACAAGGTAGGAGGGACATTTAAACGATTTGAAATATACCACCAGTAGATGTTATGTCTAGCAGCAGGCTGCGGGGCATTGCTTGCCGAAGTCAAGAGCAATCTGTACAGAGAGTCATGGAAAATCAATGAAATACAATGAAATACAATATACAATAATGGGTAACTAGAGCAATCGCGTACGTGTCAGACACTTTTTATTTCAATCTATCAGCCACAGTGGTTGGTTGTGAAAGGCGGAAGTTGGAATTGCCTAAAGAGGGGCCCGTGTTGCTGACTACTCCGTCACCTCCTCACCTGATCCACCTCCGTTTCTTCTTCTATCTTCAACCTTCTTCTTCCCCCCGATTATTCCAACACTCGCCCTGTCTCCATCTCTGCCCAACCACCCACCACCACCACACCCGCTGCTTGGTCTGCTTCCCAATCTTCCCCCTAGTCGTCCAACTACTACTTCCCCGCGAGATTTTAACTCTTTGTCAGTCCTCTGCCTTACTTTTTGCAACGCGTTATATCTCTTCCAGGTAAGAAGCGTGTCTTGTTTTGTGTGCGTGATTCCACTGCCTTGCCTCAGCAACCAGCTTCGATCGCTGCTTCAGCACCCTCTGGTATTCTTGCCCAAGACTATCTGTTCTCGAGTCGCATTCTCCTGATAACGTTCATCCTTATCTACGCTCCCGTATTTCCCAAGTTGCCTACTGTTCATCGTATTTCATTGTTGGTTGTGGAGTTCTATCGGGCGGTGTCACAGCAACATCTGGATCGCGTGGAAACTTCCCAGCAATCCACCACCAAATCACCCCCCATCTTCGTCACACATATTTTCTACATAAAAGTTCCATCTTGCGCATTCGTTCGGGGTTTTAATTTCGATTCTACTTTCAAGATGCTCCAAAGAAGGATGATGACCCCTCTTTTTCGTGCTAACTCCTCTTTTCCGTTTCGCTCGGTTTCAATAGCAATCAATGTCTAACAGTTGAATGTGTTGTTCATCGGACCCCTGTCTACCTCACACTAACATACGTCGGTTGTAGGAGCCTTGATTCATAATGGGCTACGAAGATGCTGTATATCTGGCCAAGCTCGCCGAGCAGGCCGAGCGCTACGAAGGTCCGTGCAATAAATATGCTACTCTTCCCAAGCGCCTACAATGACAAGGGAAATATTGACTCTGGATTAGAAATGGTGGAGAACATGAAGATTGTGGCTTCCGCAGATAAAGAGCTATCCGTTGAGGAACGCAATCTACTTTCCGTTGCTTATAAGAACGTGATTGGCGCCCGTCGTGCGTCCTGGAGAATCGTCACCTCCATTGAGCAAAAGGAAGAGTCGAAAGGCAACGAGTCGCAGGTTGCTCTTATTAAGGAGTACCGTCAAAAGATCGAGACCGAATTGGCCAAGATCTGCGAGGATATCCTCGATGTGCTCGATAAGCATCTTATCGCCTCAGCGGAAACCGGAGAATCCAAGGTCTTCTACCACAAGATGTAAGGAACTATCTGATTCCTCCACTTCGATCCTCTATTGGCCTGTTTTTCTGATGTATCTGTCGGTTTTAGGAAGGGAGACTACCACCGCTATCTCGCAGAGTTCGCACTTGGAGACAAGCGCAAGACCTCTGCTGACAAGTCGCTCGAGGCTTACAAAAATGCGACTGAAGTTGCTCAGACCGATCTTGCCCCGACCCACCCCATCCGTCTGGGACTTGCTCTCAACTTCTCTGTCTTCTACTACGAAATCCTCAACTCACCAGATCAGGCTTGCCACCTTGCCAAGCAAGCTTTCGATGACGCTATTGCCGGTACGTTGTAGATTCAGAGGACATCACTTAAAAAAAGAACAACATAAACTAAATTGAATCCGTAGAACTTGACACACTAAGCGAGGAGAGCTACAAGGACTCGACCCTTATTATGCAGCTTCTGAGAGACAACTTGGTATGTGCCCCTCATTCCCCCCCTAATCAACTCTTGAAGAATATGAATGAATATCTAACTCGCGCTCAAGACTCTCTGGACGTCATCTGAGGCAGAACCCGCCCCCGAGGCTGCCCCAGCTGCCGCTCCCAGTGAGCAAAAGGAGGACGCCCCTGCTGCCCCCGCTGAGGAGGCTCCCAAGGCTGCTGAGTAAATGGGCGGTGGGGAAATGAATGAGTATTTTTGCTGTTTTTTAGATCGGAGGAGTGGGTACAAGGGAAACTTTGTGTGTGTTGCTATTTTGCCCGCCTCTTTTCGACATTATCCATGTTCTTTAATTTCCTGTCTTAACAACCCCGCACCGGCACCTGATCACCCTTCCCAATTATCACCGACCCATCAAGGCTCTCACTGACACCCTCTAACACATGCACGCACTTTCTCTCCATAACCCACTCTCGTTCCCCCTTGATTTTAGCGGCGGGGAAAGTTCTACAAATTATTATTTTATTATTTCGTTTTTTATATTATTCACGTGTGTGTTTTCTGCTTTTCCCACCTTTTTTTGCCCCTTAGTATCTGAAAACCAAAAAAGAAGGTTGGTTGATTGAGTTGAAAAAAATACGCATAACGTTCTTTCTCAAGAGAGAGAACATCCCCCCGGCTCTCTTCTCCATTTCCCGTTTCACCTCTTGCCCTCTAAAAAAAAATTTTGTCTTTTTGATAAGTGGGTTATTAAAGTAGGTAGAACTTGGGCTCTCACATCAATGTTTTTCGGAATCTTTGGTCAGCTACAAAAAAGCAGATCTTCTACAGCGAAAAAACAAAAAGAAAACTCAAAACAACACATTATGCTAAATATTTTAAAAATAAATCAAAAAAAAAAAAAAAAAAAATCAATATCACAGATATTTTTTATAATTATTTCTTTTTTTCTGTTGCTGAAAAAGTGAAAGAAGTAGAGAATTTTTTTTTTCTTATTTCTATACACATGTTTATATTAAAACTTATTATATCTGTGAGAAAGTATGTCTATATATCTATGTTTAAAACTCAGATTAAACTTTATAGTTATTATATTATATTACTTATAATTATAGTTTATATTTATTACATTAATTTCAAATTACTTTATTTTAAATATTAAAAATTTCAGATTCACTATTTAATAAAGATAAAAGATTAATTGATTGTATATTAATCTAACCACGCAGCATTCTTTTCATAGATATGTGAGTTATATAATCTTATATAGAGTATTCAGTTAACACTCTTTCTAATTACAAGTACTTAAGTATCTAGACTGACTGCTGAGATTATAAATTTTACATTTAATCTTATTTAATCTGATCTCATACATTTCTTAACATGAATTCTACTGAGACTAATTATTAAAAAAACATGCAAAGTAACTATATATCAGATTTTAAAATGAGATTATGACTTGAAAAAAATGAGAAAGTAATCTTATTTAGTCTCATTTAGTCTTATTCTTAGTATAAAGTTACTATTTTTAGACATTTTAAGGTTTTTTTTAAACTATTTTTAATTTTTTAAAAAGTAATACTTTTTAATAATGCTCAAATAAGATTTAAAGTCATTTAAAGCAATAAAAATAATTTAAATTGAGAAGTAGAAATTGTGATTCAAAGGTTGCTTGTCAGCGTACAATTACAGGTGTACACTGGCTTCTTATATATCATAATATTATACACTAAATTAATTAGTGGCTGCTATGACTCCTTTACACTTGTAAGCAAGTTTGAAAGTGACTGTGTTATTATCTGATAATCATACATTCTTTTAAATCACTGTACATTCTTCTGAATCACATTCTCTCTCATCAGATTCAGTCATGCTTATATGACTATAATATCTACTCTAGCTTCATGCAGATTAGTGTATCACTAGTGTTCATAATCTTATAGTCTATTTCTGATTCAGCTAGTGTCTTATGTATACTCTTATAAAGAAACTTTCACTATATTATATTACTTATTCACTAACTTTTCTCATTCTTCAATCATCTTCTTCATCATTGTCATTATTGAATGTTACTATCTTATTCAAGATTTCTATCTCTTCTTCTATTCAACTCTTTTCATCTGTTTATTTATTACATTGTATGTGTTTCTGATGCTGATCTTCTGTTCTCATAATAAGTGTTCTTATAGTGCTCATATCAGACAGTTTATTAGCAGTAAGTGTAATGTATTATGAAATATGATCAGAACTTGTTTATCTTCTAATAATTGTCAGAATATACTATCATGAATAGCATATCTTCTTCATTTTCTTATATACTCTTGATCTTTTTCTTCTCAGCAGGTTTCTGATTGTGTTTTCTGACATGATTTTGTATAAACACAGATGCTGATATGTTGTTTTTATTTATATAGAATCTTCATATATTAACAGATCTGTATTCACTGATGATAGTGAACTCAATGTTGAATTATTGATCAAGAACTTGAAGAACACAATAATGAAGAAATTGTTTATATTATATATAACTGAGTCTTCTATGTCTCTCTCTGCTCTCTCTGTTTCTTTCTCTGTCACTCTCTCTCAATCTTCTACATCTGTCCCTGTGTCTGATTCTCCTGCTTCTGCTACTTCTGTTCCTGTAATTCTCACTTCTGCTACTTCTGGTTTTACTGTCTCTGCTTTTATTATCAGCTCTTTCTATTTCAAGGAGATATTGTATAGACTTAATAAACTACATTTCTCAGTGTGTATACTCTCACTCTTCTTACTGACTCTCAGAATAATTTATTATACAAAGACTATGTATAATATAACTATTTAAAGCTTGATCATAGATGCTGATTATTACATTCATTTTAAATATTTATAATGAGATAATTGTTTATTTATATCAGAGAATCACTTCTCTTCTTCACAGTATTGAGATTATAAGTCTTTTTCTTTTTCATCTTTTTCTTTCTGATACTGATTTTTCTATTCTTAGAAAAAATTATTATGAGTTTTACTGTGTATAAAGTTATAATGTTTACAGATATCAAGAAGCTTTTTATAACTGTAAAGTTTAATATCACAGAGACATTCACTCTAGCAAATTTCTTTGAGATAATAGATCTGTATCAGTCTATTCTCTGATATCTGTCATCTGACTTTGTAATGCAGATAAAAGATATTCATGTTTTCAGAAACAGAAATGCAGATGTTGTACTCTTTTACACTCACAGATATGAGACTTATATGTCTTATCTGAGCTGTTGTTATAAGAATAAGCTGTTTGTATACTGTGTTCTGCTTTCTGTATTTCTCTGTGTCTCTCTCTCTCTTTCTGAGAAGTCTTATATGTGTTGTAATTACATGTACAACTCTAAGATCAGTGAGTATTTGTTTGATAACTATTCTCATCTCTGATTTTATGATTTTTATATACTAACAATAGTTCTTAGTTGCTTTGATATCAGAGACTATTTTAATCAAAGATGATAACATCACTGAGACTATTCTCTCTCACTCTTAAGCTTCTTCTATCACTTTCTCTTCCTTCTCTACAGAGAAGATTGTGTGCACACTGAATTGTAAGTATTCAGTTCTGAGTAGCTTCTGTCATTTATCTGATTCTGTGTCTCTCTCTTTCATTTCTTCTGTCTCTGTCTTCTCTGCTCTGACTTCTGGTTCTGTGAGTCTCATACTCTTCTTCAATTTTTCTACACATATATGTACACATTTCTATATCAGCATTTCAGTCAATCTTGTAATAAATAACATTAATATTGTACACAGAGTAGTAGAGGAATCAGAGATATGTATAATATTATTATAAGAGTAGCTTACAGCTCTTGAATTTCTTGCAGATCTTGAGTTTTGAGATTTCCTTTATTTTTAACATTTTTTGAGTGATGTGGCATGAGAAATAGATTAAATGTATGACATATGAAAATGAATGAGATATATATGATAACATTTGTCTTTTGCAGCTGATTCTTATAGTTAGTGATTAATTCATTATCTCTTTTCTTTTCTTATGCTTTTTCTTTATCTACTAGTCACTACTCTTATATGATCTCTATATAATATAGTGTTCAGTGACTAGATTCAGCAGCTTTTATCTTTTATAATTCTGTCTTATATATTATACTGTCTCTCTTCACCTGCTCAGATTACTACAGTGAACAGCTCATTGAAACTAACCTTATCTGATCTCTGAGCATTCTCAGAAGTTGAGATGACTTGATCTTATATATCTGTAAATGTTTCAGATAGTTCATTCTCTGTGATCTCTGTGATTGAACTGATGTAAACAGTTAAATTCAACTCTGAATTTCTTTTTCTTCTGTAATCTGACTCATGTGCAAGTCTGCTGCTTTAAGACTGCTCTTTATTATATTATATCTACTGTCTGCAGTGTGTTATTGTATGATCAGCTACAGTCTTATTACTTATTGAAGTGTGATATTCATCTGATTTCTCTATTACTTCTCATTCTTTTCTTATAATTGTGAAAAGATTGAAATAAGTGAGATCATCTGATTTATAAGTATCTATGATTTCTCTTATCTTATAAGACTTTTCAATTGTAAGTCTCTTCTTTTTCAATACTGATAATAGTGCTGTGAATAATCATAATCTGCTCAGATCTTGTATCTTTACTTTCATAAGTTATAAATTATTTATTAAGTTGTGTAAGATCTGTCTCTCTGATTCTTTCAATGTATATGTTCTCAGAGAATGTGATTTGAGTATTTTATATAGCTCAAATCATCTAGATTGAAACTTCTCAGAACTCTCATTATGTATGAGAACTCATATTCTCATCTTAAGACTCAATTCCTTAACTAGTGAGTCTCATATTCTTTTTGATTGAATTGCTCAGTTCAGAAGTAACTTATTAGCTTTTGTATATATGTGACTGATCTCTTTCAATCTTGATTCTGTGTCTGTAACTGTTGCATCTGCAACTGCTGTTTTCTCTTTCACCTTTTCTGAAGCATTCTCTGAGATACGCGGATGCAATTTATACAATAGATAGAATGATGAATGCTTAAAGACTGCATGCTGCTGAATTTGTATGACTAATAGTGCCTGACTGAGATATTCAATTCATAATCTTGTAGACTTGCTCACTAGATATTTTCTCAGTATATTGTCTAAGATTTTATTCAAGCATTTCATCTTTCTGTTCATCTGTGAATGATATAGTGTTGTTCTATGATGTCTTGTCTGTAATTGACTCATGAAATGCCTCACTGCTTCTTCTATAAGATTTACACTGTTATTAGTTAGAATCTCACACAGCATTTCATAGTTGATATAAATCTTATTATGTAGAAACTTCATTATTATCTTCTCTGTTATCTCTGAAACTGCTTTTACAACTGGCCAGTCAGTAGTGTAATCAATAGCAGTGATTATTCATTGATTTTCATTTAACATCTGTGATAATATGTCTATGAGGTTCATCTCTCATTATTTGAACAGTTGTATTATACACTTTATCTGATATTACACTTTCTTACATTCTAATCCTTTCTTAGATTCTTTCACAATCTGGCAATTCAGACACTCATGAGTATACATCTGAATGTTCTCAGTCATGCTTGGCTAGTATGCTCTTGATTCAAGTACACTCATGAGTTCAGAGCTTTCTAAGTGACTGAATTCCTTGTGCATGTGAGTTACTAAGTTGTATCTAAATGAAGATTCTAGATAGAGAGCTTCTATGTATTCTAGATCACAGTAAAACATAATATCATTTTTCAATTTTCTCAGCTTGAAGTTTGAAAGCATCTCTTCTACTACTCTCACAAGATACTTGTTATCTGACACCTTGTCATTCTTCAAGTAAGAGATTATAGTGTCTACTCATTCTAATTCCTTGCATTCTCTCAGTGTATTTAATACAAATATCTCTTATGTCTTATTTGCAGAACTCTCACTCATGAAATCAGGTCTGTGACTGATTGCATCAGATATCACAGTGTTCAATCTCTTTTAATATTTAATATGAAGATTGTATGCTTAGAACTCTGAGATTCAACATGCTAAGTGTTTGAAAGATTTTATCATTGATTATAGATAGATAAGGCTTTCATGATCTGTAATCACTGTTATTATATGTCTGTTGTTAATATATTTATCTTATAATATTAACACATGCTTAATTACTAGCAATTTCTTTTCATGCACTGAGTAATTGAGCTCAGTGTCTGATAGTTTTCTATTATTATATATCATCAGATGCAGCTTGCTATTCTTACTCATCTATAGAAAGATGTCTCTGATAGCTCATTCAGATGCATCTGTCTCAATGTAGAAAGATTTATCATAATCTAGTTAAATAAGCACTGAGAATGTTATTACATGTTCTCTCAGTATGAGAAAAGCCTCTTCACACACAGTATTTCAGATGATTGAATGAAACTTCTTCTTTTGCAGATTTGCATTCATTTCTCTTAATAGATCTGAGAGTGATATAGATATTCATGTGAAATCCTTGATGAATCTGCAGTAATATGAGACTAACTCAAGAAACTGTTATATATAATATACATTTCTCAGTCACAGTCAATTCACTATAATATTCAATTTCTCTGAGATGAGATGTATACAGTCATCACTCACTACATATTCTACAAACTTCAACTCTTTTATTTTAAATATATACTTTGTTAATTTGATGTAGAGCTTATACTCTGTCAGAGTTGTAAGCACTTCATCAAGATACTTCAGATATTCATTATATGAGTTTGAAAAGACTAGAATATTATTAAGATATACAAGACATGAGGTTTTATTCTATTTATAAAGAATTGTATTCATCATTATTTAGAAGATGATGAACATATTTATCAGATTAAATGATATTATCAGGAATTTGAACTTTCTTCATTACATATTAAATGCAGTTCATGGAACTGACAGTTTATCTATATAGATTTGTCAGTATTCTGAGAGAAGATTGATCTTTGATAGATATTAAGTGTTTTCAACTGTATTCAACTGTTATTGAATCTATAGCAATGAATATTCATTCTTGATTATAAGCTTATTAAGTGCTTAATAATTAATACACATCTGTCACTCCTCATCTGCCTTTTTCATGAATAGAACTGAAAAGCCTCACACACTTAATGAGAGTTGTATGAGATCATGTTCTAGAAGGTCTGTGATCTGACACTTCTGTTCTTTAAGATGTGTTTGTGACAGAGAGTATGCATTCTGATTGACTGGTTTTATGTCCCCTGTGTCAATCTCATGTACAAATTCTCATTCTGGTGACAATTCCAGTGAAAGATCTATTCAAAAGATCTTTTCATACTTCTTCAGAAGCTTCTTCATACACTTGTTCTTCTGTATATCTTTTATCTTAGTTTTCTCCACTTTCAGGTCCTGTATGACATACAGAATACTTTCAGATAAGATCTTGCAAATTGTTCTCTTTGCTTATTAGTGTGTAAGCAGATTTAATTCTTCTATATCAGAGACATGAAATGTCCTTCTCATATCAGTTAATAGAATTATATGAACTGTTTTCTTCTCATCAGTTAACTGCATATAACATGTACATCATTGAATCTGTGAATTGAATCTTTGAAATCAATTGAGTTCAAGAATAAGATTGTATTTCACATTCTGCAGCTCTCATGCTTAAATATAGCAAGATCATTCTCTGAAGTGCAAGAGAACTCTTACTCTTGCAGATGATATCAAATATCAGTTATCAGATAATCTTATACATTGAGAATTCTTCACTCAGTGAATCTCTTTCAGTCTTCAGATTATATAATTATTAATATATTATATAGAAGCTTCTGTGTCTACTAACACTTTTACAGCTATCTCTCAATTCTTATTCAAGTGCTTCTTATACATTAACATTTCAGATCTTAAGATATTGAGATGAGTGTTCACTTCATTCTCATCTGCATCTCAGTTAGAAG